TTGCCACCCTCCGAGAGTGGCGTGCGAATGGTTTGCCACCCCTTAGAGAGGGTTGGGAGTGGTTTGCCACCCCCTAGAGTGTCGTGCAACTCGTTTGCCACCCACTGAGAGTGGCGTGCGAGTGGTTTGCCATCCCCCCGAGTGGTGTTCGAGTGGTTTGCCACCCTCCAAGATTGGCGTGCGAGTGGTTTGCCACCCTCCAAGAGTGGCATGCGAATAGTTTGCCACCCCGCAGTGTGACGTTCGAGTGGTTTGCCCCCTGCAGTGTGAGGTGCGAGTGGTTTTTCACCCCCTGAGAGTAGCGTGCGAATGGTTTGCCACCCTCCAGAGTGGCTCGGGAGTGGTTTGCCACCCCCTCGAGTGGCGTGCGATTTGTTTTCCACCCCTGAAGTGGCATGCGAGTGGTTTGCTACCCCCCCGAGTGGCGTGTGAGAGGTTTGCCGCTCCTCCAGAGTGGCGTGCGAGTAGTTTGCCATCCCCCGAGAGTGGCATGCGAGTGGTTTTCTACCGCCAAAGAGTGGCGTGCGAGTTGTTTGCCACCCACCAGAAGAGTGGCGTGCGAGTGGTTTGCCACCCACCAAAGTGGCGTGCGAGTTGTTTGCCACCCCCACGAATGGGGTGCGAGTGGTTTGCCACTCCTCAGAGTGGCGTGTGAGTGGTTTGCCACCCCTCTAGAGTGGCGTGCGAATGGTTTGCCACCCCCCAGAGTGGCTTGGGAGTGGTTTGCCACCCCCTCGAGTGGTGTGCGAGTGGTTTGCCACCCCATGTGAGTGGCGTGCGAGTGGTTTCCCACCCCCCTGACTGGCGTGCGAGTGGTTTGCCACCCCCTGAGAGTGGCGTGCGAGTGGTTTGCCACCCACCGAGGTTTGCATGCAAGTGGTTTGCCACCCCCCCTATTGGCGTGCGAGTGGTTTGCCACCCTCCGAGAGTGGTGCGTGAGTGGTTTGCCACCCCCTGATAGTGGCATGCAAATGGTTTGCCACCCCCAAGAGTTTCTTGGGAGTGGTTTGCCACCCCCCAAAGTGGCGTGCGAGTGGTTTGCCACCCCCCAGAGTGGCGTGCGAGTGGTTTGCCAACCCCCGAGAGTGGCGTGGGAGTGGTTTGCCACCCTCCGAGAGTGGCGTGCGAATGGTTTGCCACCCCTCTGAGGGGCTTGCAAGTGGTTTGCCACCCCCCCGAGTGGCGTGCAACTGGTTTGCCACCCCCCAGAGTGGCATGCGAGTGGTTTGCCACCCCCTGAGAGTGGCATGCGAGTGGTTTGCCACCCCCCGAAGGTGGCATGCAAGTGGTTTGCCACCCCCCCGATTGGCGTGCGAGTGGTTTGCCACCCCCCAGAGTGGAGTGCGATTGGTTTGCCACCCCCTGATAGTGGCATGCGAATGGTTTGCCACCCCCAAGAGTGGCTTGGAAGTGGTTTGCCACCCCCCAGAGTGGCGTGCGCGTGGTTTGCCACCCCCCCGAGTGGCGTGCGAGTGGTTTGCCAACCCCCGAGAGTGGCGTGGGATTGGTTTGCCACCCTCCGAGAGTGGCGTGCGAATGGTTTGCCACCCACCAGAAGAGTGGCGTGCGAGTGGTTTGCCACCCACCAAAGTGGCGTGCGAGTTGTTTGCCACCCCCACGAATGGGGTGCGAGTGGTTTGCCACTCCTCAGAGTGGCGTGTGAGTGGTTTGCCACCCCTCTAGAGTGGCGTGCGAATGGTTTGCCACCCCCCAGAGTGGCTTGGGAGTGGTTTGCCACCCCCTCGAGTGGTGTGCGAGTGGTTTGCCACCCCATGTGAGTGGCGTGCGAGTGGTTTCCCACCCCCCTGACTGGCGTGCGAGTGGTTTGCCACCCCCTGAGAGTGGCGTGCGAGTGGTTTGCCACCCACCGAGGTTTGCATGCAAGTGGTTTGCCACCCCCCCTATTGGCATGCAAGTGGTTTGCCACCCTCCGAGAGTGGTGCGTGAGTGGTTTGCCACCCCCTGATAGTGGCATGCAAATGGTTTGCCACCCCCAAGAGTTTCTTGGGAGTGGTTTGCCACCCCCCAAAGTGGCGTGCGAGTGGTTTGCCACCCCCCAGAGTGGCGTGCGAGTGGTTTGCCAACCCCCGAGAGTGGCGTGGGAGTGGTTTGCCACCCTCCGAGAGTGGCGTGCGAATGGTTTGCCACCCCTCTGAGAGGCTTGCAAGTGGTTTGCCACCCCCCCGAGTGGCGTGCAACTGGTTTGCCACCCCCCAGAGTGGCATGCGAGTGGTTTGCCACCCCCTGAGAGTGGCATGCGAGTGGTTTGCCACCCCCCGAAGGTGGCATGCAAGTGGTTTGCCACCCCCCCGATTGGCGTGCGAGTGGTTTGCCACCCCCCAGAGTGGAGTGCGATTGGTTTGCCACCCCCTGATAGTGGCATGCGAATGGTTTGCCACCCCCAAGAGTGGCTTGGAAGTGGTTTGCCACCCCCCAGAGTGGCGTGCGCGTGGTTTGCCACCCCCCCGAGTGGCGTGCGAGTGGTTTGCCAACCCCCGAGAGTGGCGTGGGATTGGTTTGCCACCCTCCGAGAGTGGCGTGCGAATGGTTTGCCACCCCTCAGAGAGGCTTGAGAGTGGTTTGCCACCCCCCCGAGTGGCGTGCGACTGGTTTGCCACCCTCCGGAGTTGCATACGTGTGGTTTGCCAACCCCTGAGAGTGGCGTGCGAGTGGTTTGCCACCCCCCGAAAGTGGCATGCAAGTGGTTTGCCACCCCCCCGATTGGCGTGCTAGTGGTTTGCCACCCCCCAGAATGGAGTGCGAGTGGTTTGCTACCCCTCGAGTGTGGCGTGCGAGTGGTTTGCCACCTCCTGAGAGTGGCGTGTGAGTGGTTTGCCACCCCCCGAGAGTTGCGTGCGAATGGTTTGCCACCCCCCAGAGTGGCGTGCGAGTGGTTTGCCAACCCCCGAGAGTGGCGTGGGAGTGGTTTGCCACCCTCCGAGAGTGGCGTGCGAATGGTTTGCCACCCCTCAGAGAGGCTTGAGAGTGGTTTGCCACCCCCCCGAGTGGCGTGCGACTGGTTTGCCACCCTCCGGAGTTGCATACGTGTGGTTTGCCAACCCCTGAGAGTGGCGTGCGAGTGGTTTGCCACCCCCCGAGAGTGGCATGCAAGTGGTTTGCCACCCCCCCGATTGGCGTGCTAGTTGTTTGCCACCCCCCAGAATGGAGTGCGAGTGGTTTGCTACCCCTCGAGTGTGGCGTGCGAGTGGTTTGCCACCTCCTGAGAGTGGCGTGTGAGTGGTTTGCCACCCCCCGAGAGTGGTGTGCGAATGGTTTGCCACCCCCCTGAGTGGCTTGGGAGTGGTTTGCCACCCCACCGAGTGGCGTGCGAGTGGTTTGCCACCCCTCAAAAGTGGCGTGCGAGTTGTTTGCCACCTCCCAGAGTGGCGTGCGAGTGGTTTTCCACCCCTCGAAAGTGGCGTGCGAGTGGTTTGCCACCCCCCAGAAGAGCGGCGTGCGAGTGGTTTACCACCCACCAAAGTGGCGTGCGAGCTGTTTGCCACCCCCACGAGTGGGGTGCGAGTGGTTTGCCACCCCCCAGAGTGGCGTGATAGTGTTTTGCCACGCCCTGAGAGTGGCGTGCGAATGGTTTGCCACGCCCTCAGGTCCTACAATTCGATAGTCATGCTCACGAGTCGAACGCTGTTTTGAGAACCCAAGATTATGGGACTTAGGAGCTTTTCTTTTTTTAAATAGAATCCAGGTCTCAGCATGGTAAGGCTTTGGTCTAGCATGGGTGAAGTGCAAAACTTCTAGAAGTAATTTCTCCTTGCCCACTTTGAATAAGGTCCTACATTTCGATGGGCTTGCTCACGAGTCGAAGGCCCTTCTAGGAACCCAGGAATATGGGGCATAGGAGCTTTTTTTTACGATATAGAATCCAGGTCTCAGCATGCCCAGGCTTTGGTCGAGTACAGGTCAAGTGCAAAACTTCTCAAAGGAATATCTTCTTGCCCACTTGGAAACTGGTCCTACAATTCGAAGGTCATGCTCACGAGTCGAAGGCCCTTTTGGAAACCCAAGAATATGGGGCATAGGAGCTTTTGTTCATGATATAGAATCCAGGTCTCAGCATGGTTAGGCTTTGGTATAGTATGGGTCAAGTGCACAACTTCTCAAAGTAATATCTACTTGCCCACTTGGAAACAGATCCTACAATTTGATGGTCATGCTCACGAGTCAAAGGCCCTTTTGGAAACCCAAGAATATAGGGCAGAGGATATTTTGTTTTTGATATAGAATCCAGGTCCAAGCATGGTTAGGCTTTGATTTAGTACGGGTCAAGTGCAAAACTTCTAAAAGTAATACCTCTTTGCCGACTTGGAATAAGGTCCTACAATTCGATAGACATGCTCACGAGTCGAACACCGTTTTGAAAACCCACGAATTATGGAACTTAGGAGCTTTTGTTTATTATATAGAATCCAGGTCTCAGCATGGTTAGGCTTTGGTCTAGTATTGGTCAAGTGCAAACCTTCCAAATGAAATATCTCCTTGCCCACTTTGAAACAAGGCCTACAATTTGATGGGCATGCAGGGATGATTCAGCAAGATAGTGAGAATTGAGCAAGGTAAGGGTAATTAAGCAAGGTAGGGGGGATTCTGTAAGATAGGGAGAATTCAGCAAGGTAGGGTTAATTCAACAAGGAAGGGGGGACTCAACAAGGTAGGGTTGATTAAGCAGGGTAGGGTTGCTTAATAAAGGTAGGGGTGATTGAGAAAGGTAGGGGTGATTGAGCAAGAAAGGGGAAAGACAACAAGGTTGGGTTGATTAATCAAGGAAGGGGTGATTCAGCAAGAAAGAGGGGATTCACCAAGATAGAGAGAACTCAGCAAGGAAGGGGAGATTCAGCAAGATATCGGGAATTCTGCAATTTTCGGGTGATTAAGCAATACAGCGGTGATTATTCAAAGTAGGGATCATTAAGCAAGGTAGGAGTGAGAAAACAAGGTCGTGGTAATTCTGCAAGGTAGGGATTATTAAGCAAGGTGGGGGTGATTCAGCAAGGTAGGCTTGATTAAGCAACGTAGTGTTAGTATTAAGGACGGAGTCTAGGTGAACTTAGGAGCTAGAATTACTCAAAATATAAATCCGAAATTCTGGACAGAAAAGTCGTCTTCACAAGAAACGACGTCGACAAAAAACCAGCCGTTGGGATGTCGCGAAACTTCGATATGTTGTAGCTCCTAATCTCAGCTACCGTTCCCAATTTGAATCATGTTGATTGATGAAGTATTCGCGACGCTATGGCTTTCGACGCACTAGGGGGTAAGCTGTAGGAGGAGAACTTAACTCAATCTCAAGAGTTCAATCAAAATTCAAGAATCTCACAAGGAATTAGAAGGAGCAAGAGAAAGGTTGGGATAGGAAGAGAGGGATGAGATGGGAGGTCCCAAGAGAGTCCCCAACCAAGGAAACCCCATAAGCACAAAGATTCCCTCCCTATAGGAACCCCAACTTTGACATTTGTCCCTTCCCAACCAATCCATCCAAGTTGGCCACCCTTCCCAACCTAGCTTGGTTGTTCCCAACCTATTTGCAGCTGTTACAGTAGAGTGACAAGTTTCCCCAACCCCAAAGGTCCCAACTCCATATAAAGTCACCCCACAACTTCACTTTGTAACCGCCGCAATTGTAACGCAAGCTCATGAACTTTGAATCTTCATAGCTTTCGCGTTCTTGCTCCGATTGAAGGGATTCTCGTTGCGTCGGAAAGATCTTCTCAAGATCTATCATCACAAAAAACCTGCTCAAACAAAATAACACAAAACACATTCCCAAACTCCAGAACACATCACACACAAATTCTTGCACACGTTCAAACCACACATGCAAGTTGAAAAATATGGGATGGGAGGCAGACAGAATGTGATAGCATATGATGACATCACACAACAATCTCCCCCTCTGGCTGCCAACCATCATCCACCATACCAACATCTCAAGCATGCATACTCAATGCACACTCATCCCAGCAAGCTTCATGCCCTTCCAATGATCCGCCTCCGCCAGACGCTTGGTGAAAATATCTGCTGTGTCTTCCATCCCAGGAGTGCAGCTATCGCCAACAGCACCCTCAGTGTTGTTCCTTTCCCCACAGGAGCAAACACCTCATCATAGTCCTTCCCCTTTGTCTGCTGAAACCCCCGTGCCACAAGCCTAGACTTGTAGCGGGTCAGCTCCCCTTCAGGTCCATACTTGTGCCTGTAGATCATCTTGGAAGTGATTGCCTTCTTCCCAGGAGGCAAGTCACACAGGTCCCATGTCTCGTTTTCAATCAGGGACCCGAACTCCTCATCCTCACTCGCCTTCCACTTCTCCCCATTTGGTCCATTCAAGGCCTCCTCTCGAGTCTTGGGCTCAGGGATTGGTGCCCAGTAGCAGTGAGCGATCTCATCTTCCTCAATCTGCTCAACCACACTCCCAGCCTGCACCACATTTGGCTTGCCTCTTCCCCCATAGGTCAGCCTCACCGGAGGGCGCACATCCCTCCTAGGTCGCTCAGGCGGGTGTGGAACTCGAGGTGGAGACTCATGTTGCTGTTGCTGCTCCACTTCAGCTGCTCCCCCTTCTTCAGTCACCCCAGATATCTCCTCCTCAGACACTGCAACCTCCACCTGCCTTGAAGGCTGCTGCAACTCATCTGCCTCCACAATGAGTGGTGTAGATGGAAGCTTCTGTTGCTGCTGCTTCCATTCCTTATAGTACAGGGACTCAAGAAACTTCACATCCCTTGACACTGTCAACTTCTGGGTGGTCAAGTCCCATAGCAGCCACCCCTTGTGATCCTTTGCAATCCCCAAGTGCACACCCCATCTTCCAGAAGCCTCCAACTTCCCCCTTTTCTCCTTAGGCACATGAAACACCACCATGCACCCAAATGCCCTCAGCATGTTCACAGCTGGAGCACTCCCATACCACTTGACATATGGGATCCACTCCTTATCTCCAACTGTAGCCAGCACCCTGTTCTTCACAAGGGCGACCTGCCTCAGTGCAGACACCCAAAACGGATCAGGCAGCCCTGCACGCCCAAGGAGAGTGCGTGCCCCCTCCTGCAGGGTCCTGTTGAATCTCTCAGCCACGCCATTCTGCTGCGGGTTGTAGGGCACTGTCAGTTGATGCTGGATCCCCTTCCTCTTCAACTCCCCCTCAAAATCAGCTCCAATGAACTCCCCACCATTGTCACTGCGGATCACCTTCACCTTGTATCCGCATTCCCTCTGAGCTCTAGGCATCCACTCCTTAAGGACAGCCGCTGCCACCTCCCCCTTGCTCTTCAAAGGGTAAACCCACACTGCCCGAGTGTGGTCATCCACAATTGTCAAGAAATAGCGGCTGCCTGAGAGGGAAGGGGCTCTTGTGGGCCCCACCACATCCATGTGCACAAGTGCAAGTGGGGTCTTGGCTGGTCCTGTAGTGCTGTTGAAGGGGAACTTGGAGAACTTGGTCTCCAAGCATGTAGGGCAGCTCCCAATCTCCTTCACTCCCCCTTTCACCTCCAAGCCCTTCAGGCTCCCATCCTTCACCAACTTCTGCAGCATAGGGAAGTTCACATGACACAGCCTCTCATGCCATGTCTCCCAATCGGCCTCTCCACTCCTTGATGAAGCCTTAGCCCATGCCGCACTCGCATCCACACCAGCAAGCACCTCGCCATGTGTCTGCTGCTGCTGCACTTTCTTGACTGCTTCCAGGACCCCATCAGTTGGTGCAGTTGCATCTCCTCCTGCTGTTGCCTTTGCCGTTGCTGCCGTTGCTGCTGTTGGAGTCTTCCCATTCCATGGGATGATGGGCAGCTGCCACAGGTCCTTGATGCAGCTGGTCTCCTCTTCCAGACTCCACAGCACCTTCTTCCCAAGCTTAGCACGGCAGCTGGTTGGTCCAAAGGTCACTTCGGCCTTGCTCTTCTGCAGTCGTCGCACAGAGAGAAGGTTAGCAGACAAACCTTCAACTAGCAGAACATTCCCAAGCCCCACAAGCTCCCCATTAGCTCCCTTAACCTTGGCATTCCCAACGCCAATCACAGGGAGCAAAGCACCTGACGCTGCTGCCACATACTTGATCTTCCCAGGGGGTTTTACCTCATCAAGCAAATCTGCCCGTGGGGTCATGTGACTGATGCAACCCGAATCAATCACCCAGTGCATGAGAGGGTGCATCACAACCTTTCCCACAGATCCCACATCACCCTCATGCCCATGCACATCCTCAACCATGAGAAACATCCCAGGATAGGCATTACCTTGTGCACCTTCACCTTGTGCACCTGAGCCTTGCACAGCACCACCTTGTGCGCGTTCACCACTGGGCGGCTTCATGCCTGGAGGTGCCCATCCCTCCGGCCTGCTGAAGCACTTGAACCAAGGATGCCCTATCTTCTTGCAGTACCAGCAGGTGCCCTCCATTCTGGTACTCCCCCTGCCACTGGAGCTCCCATGCCCCTCATTATAGTCACCTCGGCCTCTACCTCTGCCAAAGCTTCTCCCACGGCCTCGGCCTCTCCAACCCCCTCTTCCTCTGCCGCGCCCTGCAGCTCCATACCCCTCAGCAGTCTTAGTGGCAGCACCGCCTCCCACATGGCGTCTGCGGAAGTCCTCCTGCAGAATCTGCTGCCTTAGCCACTCAGGTGTCCATTGATCTTGCTGAGAGTTGAGGGTGGGGATGAGGTTGTCCCAAGAGTTGTCCAACACCGAGATGATCTTGGTGCACTGCTGCAGCTGAGATACACTACTGCCCGCTGCTGCCATCCTTGCATAGGTGTCCTTGATCTTGTCAAGGACCGGCTTCACATCGTCCCCTGGTCGCATGGAGATGGCAGCAAGTTCCTTCTCGAGCACGATCACCATTGGGAGAGTGTTGGGCTGAATCACATCACGTAGTAGTTTCCACGCCCTTGGACCCGAATCATCCGCTTCCACAAGATCCTTGATGTGCTCGAACATCTCCTTGTTGACCGATTGAAGGATGAGGTCGAAAAGCACCGCGCTTTTCTCAATCCACCGTTCGCGTGCTTCGCCTTCTTCCGGCATCTTCTCTTCCCCAACAGCAATCTTCAGTAGCTTGTAGCGTTTGAAGGCACTCCTCATCCGCCCGCTCCATTCCTCATAGTTGGAGCCATCCAAAGCTTCAACTTTTGATGGCGGCGGCTCACTTGCCTTCTCAGCTACAGCTCCTCTTCCATTAGCATCTCCTCCTCTCTCATTCATCTCCTCCTTGAGAAATGACGAATTTCAGCTCCCCTTTGCTGTCCACACTCAGCTCCCTCGATATTTTCACAAGTGTCAGCGTCCACGAAATTTCGGCAGAGTTTCCCCTTAGCGGAAGTCACATCCAACCTTTAGAACACCACTTAGGCACACCCACAGGCCATGGTGGGTCTAGAAGGGTCTTCAAACTTCTGTAGACTCCTCTCAATGTCCTTAATATTGCTCTGATACCACTTGTTAGTATTAAGGACGGAGTCTAGGTGAACTTAGGAGCTAGAATTACTCAAAATATAAATCCGAAATTCTGGACAGAAAAGTCGTCTTCACAAGAAACGACGTCGACAAAAAACCAGCCGTTGGGATGTCGCGAAACTTCGATATGTTGTAGCTCCTAATCTCAGCTACCGTTCCCAATTTGAATCATGTTGATTGATGAAGTATTCGCGACGCTATGGCTTTCGACGCACTAGGGGGTAAGCTGTAGGAGGAGAACTTAACTCAATCTCAAGAGTTCAATCAAAATTCAAGAATCTCACAAGGAATTAGAAGGAGCAAGAGAAAGGTTGGGATAGGAAGAGAGGGATGAGATGGGAGGTCCCAAGAGAGTCCCCAACCAAGGAAACCCCATAAGCACAAAGATTCCCTCCCTATAGGAACCCCAACTTTGACATTTGTCCCTTCCCAACCAATCCATCCAAGTTGGCCACCCTTCCCAACCTAGCTTGGTTGTTCCCAACCTATTTGCAGCTGTTACAGTAGAGTGACAAGTTTCCCCAACCCCAAAGGTCCCAACTCCATATAAAGTCACCCCACAACTTCACTTTGTAACCGCCGCAATTGTAACGCAAGCTCATGAACTTTGAATCTTCATAGCTTTCGCGTTCTTGCTCCGATTGAAGGGATTCTCGTTGCGTCGGAAAGATCTTCTCAAGATCTATCATCACAAAAAACCTGCTCAAACAAAATAACACAAAACACATTCCCAAACTCCAGAACACATCACACACAAATTCTTGCACACGTTCAAACCACACATGCAAGTTGAAAAATATGGGATGGGAGGCAGACAGAATGTGATAGCATATGATGACATCACACAACACGTAGTTGGAATTCATCAAGGTAGGGGTGATTCAGAAAGGCAGGGGGATTCAGCAAGATAAAGAGAACTCAGCAAGGTAGGGGAGATTCAGTGAAATGGGGGGAATGGAGGGGGGTGGCAACATCGCAAAAAACGTATGCTCTCAAAACGATTGCGTAGCATTCGCACAAATGCTTGCAAACGTTTTGCGAACATGTGGGTGAAAATTCCTGGCGGACTTAGATTAGAACACTTGGCGAATGCTTTGACAACATTTCCTGAAACTCTTTTTGGTTCACGACAGCGAACGCTTAGAGGTGTCTTTTCAGTAATCTCCGTGGTTCGTTTACAAATGCATGGCGGTGTTCTTTCTACAACTTCTGCGGTGAACATGTAAATGCATAGAGAAGTTTATGTTAATCATTTTTAGTATTCAGCATGATTTGTTGCAAACGTTTGGCGGTGTTTTTTAGGGATCCGTTTTTGCAGGCTACAGTACCCTTTTGGGCATGGTTCAGTACATTAGGGCATGCCTCGTTTGGATTTACTTATAATGCAACAAGCAAATTATTCCTGCACGTTACGTTCATAACTTGTTATCTCGAAATTAATCCAAGGTCGAAATCACCAACAATTAGGACAATGCTTACAACAACGAAGTAGCGCGACGCTGGATATTGAGTCCTGCACATTAGATTCAAACATTGTAATCAAATTAGTTTCCATACGACAGCAATTACAAAACCCGGCTTAAGAGATGGGGGCATACGTTAGTGGGGGGGCGGGGGGTTGAGAGGGGTTAGTTATAGAGTGTTTACTGCCTGTCCTGCCGGGATCCCGCTCACACTTACTGCCCTCTCCCCCTCCCTTGCTTCATGCCACTCCCCCTCCTCTGTCCTCATGCCTCTCCCCCTCCCCTGCCCTCATGCATCTCCCTCTCCACTGCCCTCATGCCTATCTGCCTCCCCTCTCCTCATGCCTCTTTCCCTCCCCATCTCCTCCAGCTGTCCCTGCCTCTCACGCCCTCACGCCTCTCCCACTCCTGCTCTCACTCCTACCCCCCTACCCTCATTGCACTCCATCTTTCCCCACTCTCCTGCACTCATGCCACTCCCCCTCCCCTACCCTAACACCCTCTCCCCCTCCCATGCCCCTCACGCCTCTTCCTCCCCCGCCCTCACGCCTCTTCCCCTCCCCATCTCCTCCAGGCTGCACTCTCCCTTTCCCCACTCTCCTACTCGTACCCCTCTTTCCCTTCCCTTCTCTCACCTCTCGCTCCCTCCATGGCTCTTGCGCCTTACCACATCCCCCCCTATCACGCACCTCATACCTCAATGCTCTCCCATCTCTCCCCCTCCCCTACTCTTACGCCTCTCCCCCTCCCCTGCACTCACGCCTGCTCTCATGCCTCACTCTCTCCCTGCTCTCATGCCTCACTCCCTCCCTGCTCTCATGCCTCACTCCCTCCTTGCTCTCATGCCTCACTCCCTCCCTGCTCTCACGCCTTCCCCCCTCCACTGCTCTTGTGCCCCTCTCCCTCGCTTCTCGCATCCCCCCCTCGCTGCTATCTGTTGTCTTCCCCATCCCTGCGGCCTCGCTTTCTTCCCTGCTGCTGCGCCTTGACCCTTGATCTGTTTTCATTCAATGAGAAGGCAGGGGACTGCGGCGCGCGAAAAAGCAGGTAACACGTTACAACGTGGGAAAGTGGGAAGCGACCCGCAAGAGAAAGCAGGAAGCGGTCCGCGAGGTGAAGCGAGCGAAGCGAAGCGAAGCTAAGAGAAGCAAAGCGAAGTTAAGCGAAGCTGAGGGAAGCGAAGTGAAGCTAAGCGAAGCAAAGAGAAGCAAAGAGAAGGGAAGCTAAGAGAAGCAAAGCAAAGCTACGCGCAGCTATGCGAAGCGAAGCGAAGCTAAGTGAAGCTAAGGGAAGCGAACCGAAGCTAAGGGAAGCGAAGCGAAGCTAAGCGAAGCGAAGCGAAGCAAAGCGAAGCTAAGCGAAGCGAAGCGAAGCGAAGTGAAGCGAAGAGAAGCGAAGCGAAGCTAAGCGAAGCGAAGCAAAGAAAAGCAAAGCGAAGTGAAGCGAAGAGAAGCGAATCTAAGAGAAGCAAAGCAAAGCTAAGCGCAGTTATGCAAAGCGAAGTGAAGCTAAGCGAAGCGAAGCGAAGCTAAAAGAAGCGAAGCGAATCTAAGGGAAGCGAAGCGAAGCTAAGCGAAGCGAAGCGAAGCGAAGCAAAGCTAAGCGAAGAGAAGCGAAGCGAAGTGAAGCTAAGAAAAGCGAAGCTAAGCGAAGCGAAGTGAAGCTAAGCGAAGCAAAGCGAAGCGAAGCGGAGCTAAGCGAAGCTAAGAGAAGGAAAGCGAAGCGAAGCGAAGCTAAGCGAAGCAAGGCAAAGCTAAGCAAAGCTAAGGGAAGCGAAGCGAAGCGAAGAGAAGCGAAGCAAAGCTAAGCAAAGCTAAGCGAAGTGAAGCGAAGGTAAGGGAAGCGAAGCAAAGCGAATCTAAGCGAAGCTAAGCGAAGCAAGGCAAAGCGAAGCAAAGAGAAGCAAAGAGAAGCGAAGCGAAGAGAAGCGAAGCTAAGCGAAGCAAAGCAAAGCTAAGCGCAGCTATGCGAAGCGAAGCGAAGCTAAGCAAAGCTAAGCGAAGCTAAGGGAAGTGAAGCGAAGCTAAGGGAAGCGAAGCGAAGCTAAGCAAAGCGAAGCGAAGCGAAGCGAAGTGAAGCGAAGCAAAGCGAAGCTAAGCAAAGCGCAGAGAAGCGAAGCGAAGCGAAGCGAAGCTAAGTGAAGCAAAGCGAAGCTAAGCGAAGTGAAGCAAAGCGAAGAGAAGCATAGAGAAGCGAAGCGAAGAGAAGCGAAGCTAAGAGAAGCACAGCGAAGCTAAGCGAAGGAAAGCAAAGCGAATCTAAGCTAAGCGAAGTGAAGCTAAGCGAAGCTAAGCGAAGCGAAGCTAAGCGAAGAGAAGCGAAGCGAAGTGAAGCTAAGAGAAGCGAAGCTAAGCGAAGCGAAGCGAAGCTAAGCAAAGCAAAGCGAAGCTAAGCGAAGCAAGGCAAACTTAAGCGAAGCTAAGCGAAGCTAAGCGAAGCAATGCGAAACTAAGCGAAGCTAAGCGAAGCTAAGCGAAGAGAAGCAAAGAGAAGCGTAGCGAAGAGAAGCAAAGCTAAGAGAAGCAAAACGAAGCTAAGCGCAGCTATGCGAAGCGAAGCGAAGCTAAGCGAAGCGAAGTGAAGCTAAGGGAAGCAAACCGAAGCTAAGGGAATCGAAGCTAAGCGAAGCTAAGCGAAGCGAAGCGAAGCTAAGCGAAGCGAAGCAAAGCGAAGCGAATCTAAGCGAAGCTAAGCGAAGCAAAGCGAAGCGAAGGAATGCTAAGAAAAGCTAAGCGAAGCTAAGCGAAGAGAAGCGAAGCAAAGCCAAGCAAAGCTAAACGAAGCTAAGCGAAGCGAAGGGAAGCTAAGCGAAGCTAAGCAAAGCGAAGCTAAGAGAAGCAAAGCGAAGTTAAGCGAAGCTAAGCGAAGCGAAGCGAAGCGAAGCGAAGCTAAGCGAAGCGAAGCGAAGCGAAGCTAAGCGATGCTAAGCAAAGCGAAGCGAAGAGAAGCGAAGAGAGGCAAAGCGAAGCTAAGCGAAGCGTAGCTAAGCGAAGCTAAGAGAAGCGAAGCGAAGCAAAGCTAAGCGAAGCGAAGCGAATTGAAGCAAAGCGAAGCGAAGCGAAGCTATGCGAAGCTAAGCGAAATGAAGCGAAGAGAACGAAGAGAGGCAAAGCAAAGCTAAGCGAAGCGAAGCTAAGCAAAGCTAAGCGAAGCGAAGCGAAGAGAAATGAAGCGAAGCCAAGCGAAGCTAAGCGAGGAGAAGCGAAGCAAAGCCAAGCGAAGCCAAACGTAGCTAAGCGAAGCTAAGCAAAGTGAAGCTAAGCGAAGCAAAGCGAAGTTAAGCGAAGCTAAGCGAAGCGAAGCGAAGCAAAGCGAAGCTAAGCGAAGCGAAGTGAAGAGAAGCAAAGAGAACCGTAGCGAAGAGAAGCGAACCTAAGAGAAGCAAAACGAAGCTAAGCGCAGCTATGCGAAGCGAAGTGAAGCTAAGGGAAGCAAACCGAAGCTAAGGGAAGCGAAGCTAACCGAAGCAAAGCAAAGCTAAGAGAAGCGAAGCGAAGCTAAGCGAAGCGAAGCAAATCTAAGCGAAGCTAAGCGAAGCAAAGTGAAGCGAAGCAATGCTAAGAAAAGCTAAGCGAAGCTAAGCGAAGAGAAGCGAAGCAAAGCCAAGCGAAGCTAAACGAAGCTAAGCGAAGCGAAGGGAAGCTAAGCGAAGTGAAGTGAAGCTAAGCAAAGCGAAGCTAAGAGAAGCAAAGCGAAGTTAAGCGAAGCTAAACGAAGCTAAGCGAAGCTAAGCGAAGCTAAGCGAAGCGAAGCAAAGCTAAGCGATGCTAAGCAAAGCGAAGCGAAGAGAAGCGAAGAGAGGCAAAGCGAAGCTAAGCGAAGCATAGCTAAGCGAAGCTTAGAGAAGCGAAGCGAAGCAAAGCTAAGCGAAGCGAAGCGAATTGAAGCAAAGCGAAGCGAAGCGAAGCTTTGCGAAGCTAAGCGAAACGAAGCAAAGAGAAACGAAGAGAGGCAAAGCAAAGCTAAGCGAAGCGAAGCTAAGCGAAGCTAAGCGTTGCTAAGCGAAGCGAAGCGAAGAGAAGCGAAGCGAAGCCAAGCGAAGCTAAGCGAGGAGGAGCAAAGCAAAGCCAAGCGAAGCCAAACGAAGCTAAGCGAAGCGAAGCTAAGCAAAGTGAAGCTAAGCGAAGCAAAGCGAAGTTAAGCGAAGCTAAGCGAAGCGAA